GAAGAATAGGAACGTGAACGACGCGTGGCTCCATCGTGGATCGGAAAAATAAAATGGTTACAGTGAAATGAAGCGTCGATATCCAGTGACCCGTGTCAGAGCAACAGTTCATCAAAATCTTCCCACATTGAACAGCGATAACGAATCGTTCGATTCTCACGTAATCGGGAATGTTTCTTTACTGCAGTAGCATTGGTGCATGATACGACAGAGAAGGCAAGACAAGACAATATTTGATAATCTGATGCCACAATTTTGTCAATAATTCTCGATTGCAGATATATATTTCATCTGTTGGCATGTCAATATAATTAATCGATTGACGAATGATTCTATTAAACTGTCGACCGGATGTATTTATAAAAATTTTAAAATTAATAAAACTGGTTTTGTTAATTTGGTAAACGTTTGGAAAAAAGAAGGAAGAAAGCAATATATTAAAATTCAATGCGAAATTATATCACAATTTTACAGTTTGTACTTACATGCAAGAAAAGTTTCGCTTCTATTTTATATATTCAAACAAATTTATTTTATTAAATTCATTGATTAATTAATTTATCTCATAATTCGTTTAAATGAAGTAGAAATAACTATAGCGAAAAGAAAATTGTCTTAAACTTGAACATGAGAAAGATATTAATATCACTTGATAGAAGTATTAAAATAAAAAATAGAAACAAGTTCGATTCATGTAATACACCATGTATGATGACGTACGAACGAGTTTACATTTTCTATTTTAAACAACATAAATTTTAATCGTCCAATCAATTAACAGGAAGCTGAGATGTTTCAATTAATTACAGATAAATATGATGAAAATAGAGCGATCGATAATAGCGATGGTACAAAATCAGTGTAATTGGGTCAATCGATGTTCTTGCAAAGAAGTTCGACTATCGATAAATTACACCGGATAAGGACGCATTCATATCTTTTAATTAAAAATTGGTATGATACCGTTCGAATGAAATGTGATATCGTTATTCGGCTTCTATATTCTTTCGGATTCCAATAAAAAGAATATCAAATACTTTTACCTTAAAAACAATAGTCTTAATTAAATTTTGAAAATCACAATACATGATTTGTAAATGTCTGATCTCGACGAAAGAGAGAGAAAAAAAAAAACAATGAACACGATGTTCTCAGTTTTAATAACGCAAAAATTTAGAAGATTATTACTTCATTGGTTTTTTGCCAATCGTGACTATGTGTCGAGTCATCCGAATGGACTTTGCACGCTCGAGCTATTCTTCATATTCTATTCCACGAGTCGTTAAATTATTAAACATCGCGGAACATAAACCAGTTCGCGATCACGTAAATACATAGTTCGATAATTGAATTTCTTTGAACTAACTGGTTTTAACTTTACCGAGAATCAAGCGAAAGACAATCGAAATATATATTTATTTGTAATAAAAACAGAAACGCGATTCGCGTCACTGAAAATAATTTAGAAAAATAATTTAGAACGTTGTTCGTTCGAAGAGAAAAACAAATATAATTTTCGACAACAATAGAAATGCTAAAGGCTATTTAATGATACCAAATTTTTGTTCCTGTTCTAATAATTTATCCCTCCAGTAACTATTTTATTTTGAACTTGAATAATATTAATCGTAGTTTACAATTTAAAGAAACTTACAATTTTATTTGTAAACGACAAATATCATTTTTCAAATCGTGGCTCACTGCAAATGTTTTCATAGTATCTGTAACAGAAAAATTAGATGGATGCGAAATAAACAGAAAAATTCACAATTTGTTGCTTCTCTCTCTTTTTCACTTGGAAAATATTGCATTTCAATCGTGATCAACTAAGCGTCTATTTTGAAAAGTGAATAAAGTGAGAATTTTCTAGAAATTATTTTGCTCACTGAAACAAATCCAAAATCTATGTTATTTCATGTACATAATAACGACCAAATGTATCATGAATTTATAGTATTATCATAACTCTAGTTGCTAGGGAACGATGTTCATTTTGTAAATTTAAAATTAAATCAATATTTGAGTTTAGTGCAGAGAAAAGAAAATTAAAATTCATCCGAGATATTGATAATAATTCTCTTATTAAATCTCGATAATTAGTAAATTGAAAAACGATTTATCGTTTCCACTGCAACCAATAAGATTAAAGAAATTCGTACGAAAAATATCAAACTCTAATTTCAGATAAGAATAAAACTCGAAATTATCGAGAATTTTCCAGTAAATAAAGTAAAAATACTTATGATTTTTCATTAGTCGTTCACCTTGTACTTGGTATCAGTTCCTTTCGAAATATTGATCGTCCAAGTGACGTACTGCAAAGTAATCGCTTATCGTGCTTGCGAATTCGCGTTTCCGTTGTTTGATAATAATATATACTTTTACGCTGCATTTGTCGTGAATATTTTCTCTCTAACAACGTAGTGATCGAAAGACAAAGAATGTATAGCGTACGACCGTGACCATTTCGTGAATCTAAGAAATCATTTCTCCAAAACAAGAATCGTCCAATTTTTTATTGTTCGCGTATTTTAAAGAAGTAATAATTTTTACTATTTCATGATGATTTCTTGCTATTTTGGTGATTAATTTGTTATATTGGTTTAAATTAGACTCGAAAGTAAAATACACGTTATGTTCGCTATTTTTGAAGATACAGATGTATTTTTAGTGAAAACATTTCAAGCAACGTAAAATTTTATAGTGTCGGTAGTAGTTGCATACAATAAGCGTGTATTTTCAGAGCGATGTGTCTGCTTTAATTCCCTTTGTATTTTTACTGTAAGACACTTTCATAGACGAGGTAAAATTCTAAAACTGTGATTTCCTTCCTTTCTTTTAGATTATTTAATGAATTTTGGTAAACCTTGAATTTTATTATTCTCCATATTATGTATTTAAGAAATTATATTCGTTGCAAAGTGTATTGTATTTCAAAGAGGTTAAAATTAAAGGTAATGGATAAGTTACATTCCTTCCACAATGGAACTGGTGACTTTGATAACAGATACGGACGAGAAATGCGTGTTCTTTCTTCCTCCCTTTGCAAAAATAAATTGTATTCTCGTCTTCGTTTTCTTTTCCGATAATAAGATTTGATCATTTAAAATGAAATGAAACAAGTACATACTAATCAGATATTTATCTCCGTCAATTTCAATTATTACAAAATCTTCAATATGATTTAATCAACATATACTTTTATTAGAAAACCACGTACGTCTTTAGTCGATGGTATCAAATCAAATGAGTTGTTCAAGCTTCAAATTCGTAGAGAAAATTTCTAATTCTGCTTGACCTTGTTTCTTCCCCCTAACATATGATAGAACGTACAATTTACGTTCCACATGATTCACCGAGGAAATATAAATCCTAGTTGTAGATGTTAATTCTTCACGACCGAAAACACACACGTGAACACATCCTGGAACATGTTTCTATGAAAAGAAACGGCAATCGGCTCGAGCGTAAACGTGTTTTATGGGGCTTGGCCGTTCTAACTTTGATATTATCGGAGGAGCGTTTTCGAGGGCATGATACTCCCACAATCAGTCTCTAAAAACAGAAGCCATTTTTGAGAGCTGGCCGTTTGTCTCCAAGTTTCCAAGTCACCATCGTAAAACGTACCCGGCAGAAAAAGAATTTTTTGTATTACTTCTCTGCTAAATACACACAGAAAATTCTCTTTTCTTTCTTTCTTTGCTACACACGTATTGTGTTTCTTATTTTTCTTTTCCTTTCTTTTTCTATCGCACAAAACATCGAAAAAATCATGGCTTTTATAATCTATGTTTTTGAGATTCTTTTTCCGTCTTTCTCAGACTGTTGACATTTTTATACATTTTCTTATGCGTTTTCAAGTATTTTAGTTGGAAGACTTGTATAGAGATTTTTCATTATTTATGTATTGTTATTTTAACATGTATATTGTTATAGAATTTCTATACTATTCTACAGTATCAAGACTGAGTTATAGAATTTTTATTCTATTCTATAGTATCAAGACTAGTAACAAGAATTACAAGTATTATTAGGAATTACTAATGAACAGTACATGAAAGTTCGATTAGAAGCTTTCTATCGGAAAATTCATTTGTTCAAATAATTTTTAGTGATCTCTGTATTGTATGCAATGAAGAAGTTTTTATCTTTTGCTTGATCCTCTGCCACGAATGGAGAGTCGATGATTGAGAAAGTTTCTGAAATATTTTGTTTTACGGAGTTTAACGAATATGAAACTCCAAACTGTCAACAAAGTTCTGAGACCCTCGTATCATCCATGTTCCCTTGTTATCAGTCACTTTATCAATCATTTTTCTATTTTCGTCTCTACATATCAGCGATAATATTTGCTTTTTATGTTTGCTTAAACTGTAAATCCACTCTTCAGAACTGATATCTACACTGTTTAAACAAAATATTTGCACAACTACTTTTTATAATTCAATGTTATCATAAAAGTTATCTGATAACTAAACTGCAGATTTTCATACACGTAATAAATGCATATTGAATATTTTATACATATAATAATGCATAATATGTATTTAGTGCATATCAAACTGTATAAACATCCGCAATTCACTGATGACATATCAAAAAGGTGACATCATGTTCAAAGAGATTTTAATCTTTTGTACATATACGTAAAAAAATACAAACAATTGAAACAACTTTTTAAAATCGATATCTCCAACAAATTGGCGCGAAACACTACTATCGCATCCATAACTCGAACTACCGTATCTGTGAACCAGCTGCTAGCGCAAAGGGTTAATATTCCCCTAAAATAACAATTTTATTTAATTTCGTAACAATTTTACATTCAAAATCTCATAGTTTTCAATTTATCTGTCTCCAAAATTTTCATATACAGTTCATGCATATACATGTATATAAAGCCTAAGGGTCAAGGTCATAAAATTTGCTTTAAGTAGTCAGTCGTTGATTAAAATATTCTCGTGCAACGAAGTCATTTCTTTTATCTCATATTTCGACAGCCACGTCAGCGGTGATCCTGAAGACGGAACAGGAGCATCATCGGATATCCAATCTTTCAGGGGACAATATCCTTGGCGCAGGGGTCAGGATTGGTCGAGGTGAGGACGCAGTCGCTGTTAGCAACGGGAACATTATGGATTCGGCGCAATCAGCCATGATGAAGCAAACAGACTACGTCGTAGGTTAGTAAACCAAGCTTGAACAAATTCTTTTCAACGCATTGAATGGACTTGTTAAATAAATTCTTCTATCTCGTCCAATCGCTTCTGTGATTCGTGGAATTACGAGTTCACTCGAATTATCCGTGATATTTCAAAATTTCGCCGAGAAAGATGATCGTTGCGACGCAAGAATAGTTTGTAGATAAATCGACTGATTCGATGTGTCAGTGTTTTAGACAATTCTGGACAATTTTCTTCATCGTTATCATCCTTTTTTACAAGCGAACTGTGACACGGTGATTCAACATGTTCTTGTAAAAGTGCAAAAAATGCAAAAACGGAAAATAGTGAAACAGAGGTTGTGTTTCGATATCACGTTATGTGTGATCAGCGATTCTCGATATCGACATGTCCAAGAATTCCGATGATATAATCGTCATATAATCAGTGAACTGATGTTTGAAAATTGTCCAGATACGTGTATTGCGTAATACTATAATGATACATGTCATTTCAATGAAACATGCAAACTTTATTATTCTCTTCGTTCTTCTATTTTCCTCCTTTTTTAAAATCGTTTGTAATATGATTCTTTTATGCTTACAATGAAGTATAAAAAATACACGCTATTTATTAAACACACAGCAGTCGATAATGGAATCTTAAAAAATTTTTTGTTTTAACAATTACATCTTTAAATAAATTAAATAAGTTATATACGCCATTTTATAGAAAAAGTTATTACTTGTCCGAAAAATCACTTGAAAATTCCTGGTATGAATTATCAAGCAACGTAATTTACTGATTTTCTAATTTGCAGTCCATTAGACTTGCTCACCTCTGTTAAAATTAGTTTCAAGATAATGCGAAAACTTTTCCGTTCACTATCACTGTTTACGTTTGCCGAGTTCCCATCGTTTGCTCGTTTTCTGGTATTCATTATAAATTCCTATATAACTAAAGTTTTATCTAATTATATAGGAATATAGCAGAACAAAGTTTCGGATTACATCGGATCTTATCTGAATTGGAAGTAAGACTATTAAAAAATAAAATATGATAATTTTCAATGAATTTGATTGAAATTGAATTTAATAGAAATCAACTTGGAAATTTTGTATTTAACAATTAAATTTGAAAAATAAAATTTAAATTGATATTGAAATTTGGAAAAATATTGGATATTTAATTATATGGAAATTTTGAAGGAATTGTGATTATGAAAGATTCTACAAAAAGAAATGTAAAGTACTGGATTTGATTATAAGTAGTAATAAACTTTGTTCGTTGATTAACGATTGAATATCGATTTTGCATCGAATGACGGACTGTCATGAATGTCATAATTGAACAACAGAAAATTGAAGAAAGTTATTGAATTTTCATCCGTTGGAATACTTATTTAATCTTATGAAATACTTATGTAATATAAAAATATTCTATTCGTCACTAATGCTAAAGACGTTATCCAACAACTCGTAGAATGTTATCCAACAGGTTTTTTTTTTTTCGTTGTGTACAAAAAATTCTGTAAAATATTATACAATCAATGGACTTTATATCAACAATAATCTTTTTTCTTCATTCAATATGTTCCACGACTTGCTACCAACCATTGCCATAGAAAGTTTCATTCAGTTTCTCTTTTTTTTAATCTTAAAAAACTAACAATGAGACGAGAAACGATGAAACTTAAATTGAGACTTCATTTTCAAAATGAAAAGTTATCCTTCTCTATTATATCAGAGATTAAAAATTAAATTATTTGGAATTGCTAATAATTTGCAATGATCTTCTTTGCCAATTAAGAACTTCTTGATCTATTATCATTATAATTTATCGACTTCAGATAGCTTGATGATAGATATACAGTAAAGAAATATGATATAATTATTATGAAAAATCAATTTCGGTAATTGGAATCGTAGCCGGTCGATTAAGAGGCAATCAGAGCGCGGAAACGTTGGTGCACGCGAATGGCAAACTTCAACGATTAGTCAACGTAAGAGCAAAGTTCACTATGCCACACGCTTCTTGGAGGCATGAACCGTAGAATGGCGAATCGCAAAAGCGGAGAACGAAAATCCCCACGTGGCACAATGCACCTGTTAATCTATGCTTTTCCAATTTTATAGATGTTGTCTTGCCGACCGTCCTAATTGCCCTGTTGTTCGTTGGCAATGCCATCATCGTCTACATTATCTTTCAATATAGAAAGAGGTGAGTAAAAATGGAATAATAATTGTGTAATTGTGCTAATAATTTTCTTCTGCTTATTTGTTGACCTTGATTATTTGTACACATAATGCAAACCGTTTATTCATTGCGATCATTCTGGTCAGTTCAAATCCTCAGTAAGTCTTTTCATTGAGGTACAAATACGATATGTTTTTAGACAACAGATAATATATTCAGACATGTCAGTAATATCAGAGGTTCTGTATATGAGTTTAATTTCAAAAATTAGTATGAATGGCAATGATCAGTTAAATAAGGCAACATTCTGTTTAGTTCTTGAGTATTTCAAACTTTTAATTTTTTGTTGAACAAATTAAAGACTTTTTCCTTTTGAATGAGAATTTTGTTTCATACATGATTTCGACTCTTTAAAACTTATTCATATGATATCTAATCATGTTGAATTTGTTTCTTATAATTATGATATAAATAATTATAATTACTTAAAAAGATTAAATGCCTTGAAAGAGTAATGTCATGTATGAACTTCACATTGGTGTAATTCACAACAAATATTCTAATTTTAATTGTGTTTGCAGGAAAGTTCCATCAATGGAGCAGGGTGAGGAAATGTCTTTGCGTAACGCAGCCGAGGTGCCGCAAGTATGATTCACACAAGAATCGATGATAAAATTCACGGTGCCAGCCAGAAATATCAGCGAGAAGGCCTACGTTGCATTTCTTCTACAAGGATGATCTCCGAACGAAAATGGATCTCTAAAGAGAGGATCGTCGAGAGGCATCGACAGTTATTTTTTCTCTTCTCAATGTTTAAAAAGAAGAATTGTCGTCGAGTCAACCGAGGGATCCTCGAATTTGTGTTCATTCGATTTCGTTGATCACACGTTCTTCAATTGAGGAGCATAGTTTAAAAATGTTTTTCTACACGTACGAAATTCGGAGATGCTCTCGAAGAAAAGACTATAAATGTGCTCGTCGCCGCTCGTAATAATTGCTGTCAATATTTAAAAAATCAGGCGCCTAGTTATCTGCTGCCACGATATTCTACGCGTACATTCAGACACACACATACACACGTACACGTACATTACGATAATGTATTATAATGTAAGGAAATAATATATTCTATATTTCGTCCAAATTGTGAATAAGTTAAGAATAAACTGATGTTTTCATAATATTTTTGTCTTTCTAAATATTTTGTTAAATTCTTCTTGTAGAAAAATAACATTTATATTTATTTATTTATTTATATTTACAAAATATTTCCACAAAGTAAATTAAAAATATTTTTGCAAATATTTCTACAAATTAAATTAAAAATATTTTTGCAAAGGTTCACCTAGAATTTCTTCTAGAATGCGTACTGCGTTTTGTGCATTCTTCTCCGTAGCTTCATCCTCGTCTTCCAACAATTCGGCTAAGAAAGGTATAGTTTCTGGTAGAAGTGGCATGAAATCTTCGCCAAGCTTCCTTACAATTTCAACCTTATTTATACGAAATAAAATATTAATTTAACCTCATTTTACGGACTTTTACTCAATTCAATAGCACTTTTGACACAATTGCATCGAGTTATAATAAAATACAACAAATCAACTTTAACTGATCAATATTAATTAATTAAATAAAAAAAATTTACTTACCAATGCGTTCAAAGCAGCACTTCTAACATATGGTTTCGAGTGTCTTGTCTTCAGCAGCGTCTGATACACTAATTGTTTGTGTAAAGAATCGTCGGGAATGGCACTGGCAAAGGCTGCTATGCAAGGTACTATTAACTCATTTGCCCTCTTCTCATAATCCTCTATGGTGCCTAAAGTATTCTCTAATTGATCCACAATTGGTTGAGCCAGTATTTCAAATCTCTCTTGATTGACAAAATTATGAGCGTCATAACTGAAGACTCGATAAAGAGTCAACAAAATAGCTTCTATCAACTCAATTTTGCTGGATTCTTGAGGCAGAGTCATCTCCTGTGGTTCTTCTATAAGCGCTGGATTATTACTACTTAACAACATTGCTGCATGCTTGAGAAAATGACCAGCGAAAAGAACGAAAAGAGATTTCAAACACTCCGCTATATTAGCTGAAAGACTGCAATAAATATGCAAAATTTATATTTAGTTCAAAGACACAAAACTTCTAAAATTATATAATTACATTGCAATGTATGAAGTTTTATATATATATATAAAAAAAGAGAAATATCTGCTATTACATTAATAACGATATTTATAAAATATTGAAGTTAAAAGAACCCAAAAACCAAATAAAAATTGAAAGCTCTTCAATTGTTTTGATTATTTCAATTAAAATAAAAAAATAATTTATTTAATAAACAAACCTATAGAAAGTGATACTTCGTTGCTTATGCTGTGGATTTCTAGCAGCCCAATCGTAAAGCTTATAATAAAGTGGCCTAAAGGTAGTCTCGCTCAATTTCAATGTTAAAGCAACCAATGCTTTACTGGCGTTTTTTTCTATAATCACTACATCCTTCATCGTTAATTCCGATTCATCTATCTCCATATCATTCTCAGTATTTGAAATATCTTCACGAAATTGTAAGACCTTCAGGAAAAACGTGCCTAAATCTGATATAGCTGCGTTTATATCATTTGGCGAAGCGCTGTTGAATGATTCTACTAGCACATTCATCAGTGCTGGAACACGTTGATATGATTTCTTCGCTAGTAATGTTGTATATGTTCTATTAACAGCTGGTAATAGTATTCGCAAAGGTATGCAGGAAGATAATTTTTGAGTTGTTGCATTTAATCGTGATACCATGATGCCAATCTATGGAAATGATAAATAAAAAATCTTTAAAGATACTGATTGCCATTTTGCAAATGTGAGAGTTTATCAAAAATATCTGAAAAGTATTTCATTTAAAATTAAGTAAATTTGATTTAAAATAAAGATTATCATCTTAGATTTTCTACTGTTATTTTGACTATTGCTGTCATTATCTTTTCATTACATTTCATTTTGTTCATATTAATCAATACCAATAAATCATACCTTTTGATGTTCCGTATCGGTGTACAGAGAACTTAATCTTGCTAATTCAAACAGTAATTGATCCAAATACAAAGACAAAAAGTTTCCTACAGATTCGACGATCTTTTGTAATGCGCTAACTATACTGACAGCTACTACGTCCGGCATATCTTGATTACAGTGATCCTCTAACAATTGCAGGATCGCTGGTACAAATTTGTTCAACGAGTGTATTGCATGAATACGCATAGAACTGCATAATTCCGCGACACAAAGAGCAGCGCTGCCTAATACTGGCCCTTCTCTTGAACTTAAAAGTTCGGTAGTCATCTCAAGTATCTGTAAATGAAATATTAAAGTTATATTTGAACAAATAATAATAAGTAAGTAATAAAATATCTGAAAAATAATAAAAAATTTTATTTATTAATCTATTTAATTATATATAATAATATATATATAAATAGTCTACTACTATAATATTACTCGCTATAATATTGAGTATATTTACATACTAAGTACTGAATATAATATTATTTAGAAGTATATATTGACTCACCGGCTTGAATAATGTAGGATAATCACTAGCCAACAATTTCGCCAGCAATTTTATAGTAATCAAAACAGTTTGTTGAACAATCTCCTGTTCCTGTGTTTCAGATTTTACTTTTGCTGGTATTATCTTCAATAAAGATTCAATCAATTGTAACAATTCTTCATGATTCTCTTTATTAAACTTTCTTTGTTGAAGACGTGTATTAAGAAGCTCTAAGGCTTTCCTCTTTACTGTCGGTAGATTGTGTTCTATCAAACGTTTGATACTGATCAAAAATATTCCATTCGGTAATAAGTTATTCATCAAATCTAGAACATCATACAAATGATGCAAAAGAACCTTCCAATATTTTGCAGTTGGTTTTCCATGATGTTTATCGGCATTCTTCGAGGTACTTTGAATTAGTACGATTACTTCCACGATCAATTGATCATAATATGGTCTTACGTTATTTACTTCGGTAACATTGAGTTCAGCAACTTTATTAATAAAATCAGGCGATGATAATAGATTACTTAAAAATTGAATCAGGGTATATTTATAATGTTTTAAATGTTTAGGACTGTTAGTGCCAACATCAAAAATATATTTATGTTTAAAAGACATTGCAGCTTTTCTACCTTCCTCTTCTTCAATATCTATAGGCAGTTCTTTCATAAACTGAAGTAATTTCACACAAACTTGAATAAGTTTTGTAGGTGGAAATTCTTGGGACACCTGCAAAGCGAATTCTAATCTTTGTCCAGGTGTCTTCTGATTTGTAATAGACATGGTTCTCGACAGAACGTGACTCTCGAAACTCAATAAGTAATATAAATGAAAATGATTATCCAATAATTGTAATAACTTTACAAATAACGGAGTTCGTCTATGTTCTGGAATATCTGGTAATGAAACGATAAACGTTCTTAAGACTTCGCAAGCGTGAGTTTCATTCTCAGCCGCGTTTATTATGGGTACCACAGTTTCGATAGTCTTCGAGATTATTTGTATGGAATAAGCATCGTCCTGGCGAACCACAGTACTTCCCATAAATGTGAAAATAGGCATGATGGTGTAAAGAGCACACCGTATATCAACAATTTTCAACAACTCTACCAGAACTAATAAAGCGTGATGATGAGTCTGAGGATTTCTTGAAGTTCTAATGCACTGTGTGATTAAATCTACTTGAAGATGGGCATCGCGAATAGGCAGCTTCTTCACTGCTAATCGATGAATGGTGGATAATAATAGTTGGTTCATATATTCTATAGGACTCTGTTCCTCGAAACTGAGGCATGTCTTCAGCAAATCAAATAAAATTGGATAGAGTAATTCCTCGTGTTCGATATTATCCGCTTGTTGAACGAATTCTAAGAGAGTCATGCCGCGTTTCCATTCTCTTCCATTGATAATAGTTGGATTGGGAAAAGCATGGGCATGACTGAGTCGTTTTTTATTCTTAATTTTAGCATCATTTGATTCAGCATTCTTAAGATTTTTCATAATTTGAAGTTCATCGACTATGAGTTGTGCATTCACGCGAATCTTCCTTATCGCTCTATTAGCTGAAGAAATAACATTTCCTATTTCACAATTGGTGGCTATGTCTACTAATTTAGATAGAATTCTTTTCTGAAGATCGTTAGACGTTTCTCCAGCCACTTGAAAGAAAGTACTTCCTATTTGTTTTAAAAGAATCACACTTGGCGGATACTGCGTTCTAGATTCTGTGATTATTTCAATTTTATGTTCCTCTATGCTGGCTTCAAATAATTTCCATACTTGTTCAACGTTAAGCGCCTTTATTGTTGTGCTATTGAATCTCTGAAGTATGTTTTTCAACAAATTTCCTGCAGACTTATTTTTAGGATCAGTTTGAAGCATTTTTAGAAGTTGTAATCCAAGAGGAACCAATTGTTGAAGTATAGTGGGTCCGTTGACGTAAACCAGAATATCAAGTAATTGCGATTTAATGTGCAAAGGAGTCTCTTGGTCGGTAACAATTTCAAATAACATTTGTTGCGCTTGTTGAAGCCTTTTTCGTAAATCTGACTTCAATTGTCCACATACATCTGGATCAGGTGATAACAGAATATAAAGAGACAAAGATAATTGATCAGGATCTAAAGATATTTCTGGACTTCTGACGACAAGTTCTTGCAGCAAAGAAGGAAAAGGATCCACCATTAAGTGAGCAGCGCTTAAGAGCTTTTTAAGAATTTTTAATGATATTATTCGACATTCATTATTCTCTCTAGCTAATGAAAGCAACAAATTCGTGACAAATATTTTATCGTCAAATGCCCATTGAGTACATTTGCACTGATTCAACAACACTTCAGTTATTTTCAAACAGTGATAGGACGTTTGTATCTTCACAGGTTTTATATATAATTGAGAAAGAAAATGGATAAGATCCTTGATTGTGGAGAAATGTCTCTGGAAAAATATTTGTAGGCAACGGGAATAATGTTTGCACCAATATACATTGTCTATTCCTTCAAAAAACATCTCAAGAAGCCTCAAAATCAGATTACTACGATATTGATTATTCTCGAAATCAAATATCGGATTTGATTTTAGATTAAGACGCCTGTGAACCATTTCCAAAACGTAAGTACCTACTTGTAATGGTAGAACACCTTGAGAAGTCAATTCAATGGCCATTTGTATATTATTTCCCGTAATATTATTGCAATTCTGTAATAATTTCACTTGTGGGAATTTTTTGATCATCGCTGTGGCCATTTCTATTACCTCTCGAGCTATTTGCGGTTCTAACGACCCAACGGGAACTCTACATACGGAACCTAATAAAATTAGATTGAAAAACATGGAAGCTGCATCACCATGAGAGATTTGTTGCTTCATAACGCTCAATATGCTGTCTGTTGGAGGTAATAATTCCCAATTTAATATGTTGTGAAAAGATGTTGATGAAACTGCTTCTGCATTCGGTGATTTTCCTAAATCTTTTTGTACATGCTGCATGTAAATATTGTTCCTGGCAAAATTTGATCTTAATACCTCCATTGCAATATCTACGTCTGCATTATCATTTGGAAACAAATATGGCAAAGATATAATAAAAACGCTAGTATCATCTCCAGCTCCACAGAGTTTCAAGAGGATTTTCAACGCCGGTTTTGCTAGTATTTTTCTGCTACTACTGTGACAAGTAGATAGTAATACTTTTAATTCATCGATCAATATGTCTGTAGATAGAAGTGTTGTTAGACGTTCTGTAGGAATAGAGAGCAAAGCTCTAATAACATCTACTTCTGTATCGCTAAATCTAGATTGTATCGTGTTTGTCATCATTTCTTGAAAGCTTTCAGGAATATTTACATTAGAATTAGCCAACATTTCCAATCCCATAATTCTTTGAACTGGATTGATATGAATCAATTTATCAAGTATACCAACGACTTCTTGCGTATCTTTGGCTCCAAAATGCCAAGATGTGACAAACTGTAACGCCAATTTGGAATTGTTGTCTATATCGCTATGTTTTATTAATCCCTTCAAATAATCATCGAATCTTTCAGGATACATTCTTTCAAAAGTATGATATAATTTTATTAGGAAATCTCTCGCCTCATTTGTCATGTCATTTGAAAGGAGTTCCTTCTGCAATATGTTCCATAAGATGGTATCCACTCCACTATTGTTCAGCTTTATTCGTGTTAATATTTCATTCACCATTTTCTGCAATTTATTTTCTGGCGGATTACCCACGATCATGCGACAACTTGTTTGTAGTAATGGTACAATGAATTTTAATATGTTCACGTTGGATGACTGAAGTTTGATTGCGAGTTCAATGAACCAGGACAATTCTGATAGTCGTGTAGCAAGACTTTGTGGGACACTAGTCAGCGGATGAACTGGTACATTGTACAAGACAAATAACAAGAGCAACGCTTCCTCTTTTAAGTATGTTTTTTTAAATATTTTCAAAAGTAATTTCTCCATGGTTTCACTGTTCAGTTTCTCTTTGAACATTAATTTTGCTAGGATCATATAAGTGCTAGCTACAAAATCGGAGATAGAACTTTCTAAGCCTTTCAAAATAGTTGGTAACATATGACCCATTTGTACATCAGAAATAGTAGATAATTGATCAAGAATTCCTAATATTGAAGTTGTATAAAATGCATATAAAGTATTTAAAGAAGATGCTCGCTCTGAATGTATTCTAGTGGCAGTAGTTACATGATTACAAATTAATTTTAACAAAGCATTATTGGAACCAAGACGATTGATTAATGTTATAGAAGCCAAGGGAATTCCAGGCCTTTGAAGAGGTTCTAACCAATGCCAATTATCAGCTTCATCAGATAAATCTAATAATTGCAATGCCCTAACGAACATTCGAGTTTCATGATAAGGTAATATCAAAAGTAAAAATTGATCTCTATTAAATTCATGTATGCGAAATCTACATATTAACCATTCAAGAGCTTTATGGGCATTATTAAGTAAGAAATAAGGAGATAAAAAGATGAGAAACCTCTCAATCTCTCCATCTAATTTTTTGTTAACTTTAATGTCTTGTATAGCACGTTCAAGGCTCAGTGAACTTTGTGCAAAAAGAGTTTGCTTAAATTCTAAAAATACATCTGATAGCTTAATCAACTCTTGCAATCCATTTTGACCTATGCAAAAAATAATCAATACTAGTTGTTTTGGTAAAAAAAAAAATATATATATATATATATATAAAGAAATATATAAAATACGTTACCTATACTTAGAACTGTTTCTTTGTCTAAATTAGCAGCTTCTCTAGGATCAAATAACAAGCTAGCACGTTTTTTATCCTGCTGTAGTATTTTTGTTTGAGGTGTTTTTAATTTCTTTAGTTGTTCTGCAAGAGATGTAGCCATTTTCAAACTGCAATTAAAATTGTTTGTAAGTTAAAATATAAAAAACGAAATATAAAAAAGAAGTATAAGGTTTGGGTTAGGTTTATAATATAGAAGTAAAGGTTGGGTTAGGTTATGTATTACTTCTACACTCTATATATATCTTACCTTATTTTTATATATTATAAATATATAAATCAATGAAGTCTTCGTTGATACAATATTAAAAAATTTATTTAAATATTAAATAATACTACAAATAAAAAAAACTTATTTAATTCTTAGAATCCTCTCACACTTGACTTGAAAGGATTCTTAAATATATAGGAAGTTGAAAAGATCGTAGTCGGAAATGATTGGTTGTGGCATAGACAAAGTATATGAATAGACATTGCATGCAATGTATTTTTTCGGACACAATTTTGGAGTCGAAACTGTATTATCATTTACATGTTACATCCTGTCGTACCGATTCAAGCAGATTTTGCACTGCAGCACTACTAGTGATAAAAATTAAAATCAAAACATATCTCGTCTGTGGCTGTAGTTTATTAGGTTAAAACACTAAAGTAACACGCATGTTAGCCAAATGATCATATTTACTACTAAAAATTGTAACTATTTATAACTAACGTATTTAAGGACAGGTGAAACGAATTGATTACTCTTATTACCATATATCCTGACTATTGTTTGTAAAACTCTAATTAATATGTATATAAATTAATTAAAATAATTTTATTAGACTTACTTACGATATGTAATGTTTTTTTTATGAAGAAAATGGGTGACACATTAGAAAATATTAATCCCAAATTATATAAAAAAATAAATGAAAGAGAAATTACTGCAGAAGATGAAGACGAAGATATTATAGACGAATTTGATACACGTGAAATTTTTGGTTTGTATTAATATATGTAATAATGTTTCTTGCATTTAAACTTGTATGCATCTTTTGTTTATAGCATATAATTTCTAGATTTGATTAGGAATATCAATGATCCTGAACATCCTTTAACATTAGAAGAATTGAATGTAGTAGAGCAAAGTCTCATCGAGGTAATATATTATATATTGGTTAATATACGTATTATAAAATATATATATCATCAATCATATTATTAAAAACACTGATATGTTTTATTTTAGATTGATAATGAAGCAAACAAAGTATGTGTAAAATTTACTCCAACAATACCACACTGTAGCATGGCAACATTAATTGGTTTATCAATTAGAGTACAATTACTGCGAGTTCTACCTCCAAGATTTAAAGTTAGTGTTGAAATTACACCAGGTACTCATATGTCAGAGGCAGCAGTAAACAAACAATTGGCTGACAAAGAAAGAGTAGCAGCAGCTCTTGAAAATAATCACCTACTTGAAGTGATCAATCAGTGTATTGGTATAAAATGTTAATATTATATATTTTAAAATAGTTGCCCATAGTATGCAAAAATATTTTGTCATTATTTTCTAGTTTATTAAATTATTACAATAAAAATTTTATAACTAATTAAATAAAGAAATTGTATATACTTAAAATTTTATTTTTTCATTGCTGACATTGATGTTGTTGATTTTGATAAAGTTTGCACTGGATTGTATTTATATGTCTTTTGCAATGGACCTCTAGCTGCGTCATTAAATTGTTTTTGATCTGCGTGTGTATGTGCTGCTAACTTATTAGATATTTTCATGTTAGTCCAAGCTAAAATAAAAATTATACATATAATAAATTTAAAATTATATCATGTTTAAAATATCTATTTAAAGATACCTTCAGAGAATGCTTCGTTGAAGCCTTTCTTTTGATGTCTAGTTACAATCTGTGACTCTGGGACTGCTACTATATGAGGAATATTAAAATATGTTTTTACTTTTTTTGTTTTTAATATTTCATTTTCAGCTAAAGTTATAACATTCGACACAGCCCAGTGACACAAAATGGCCTAAAACAAATTCTTTTTAATATTCACAATACATATTAATAAAAATAAATTTTAATAATACTTACTCCTGGAAATCTCATTGCAATTACAAATGAAATAACTGGCATTGCCTTGAACAACTGTCGTGCCAATGGATGCATATTTCCTGCAGATTTTAATGTATATGTGGTGACAGCATACAATGTTAAAGTTGAAGCTAATGGCAACAGATAATATGGATCAGGAACAGTTAAATCTGTAAACCACCAAAGTCCACCTTCCTTTAAACTTTCTACTTTAGTAACCATGTCTCTTAAAGCAAAGAAAAATGGCAAATGTGCGGATATCTGTAAATATGTAAGAATAAATCTTAATATTTAAATTATTAGAAACGTGTTTATATAATATGCATATAAAACTAAATACCTTTACAATATTGGCAACGGGCAACACCTTGACGTTGTTTGTCTTAAGCAACTCTTGTAGTTCATAAGCATATGCAGCAGCTAAAAAATAAGTGAATAATTTTATTTAGAAAAATATATTGTATTATTTGATATATACCTTCATGTGTATTTCCACATCTCCTTGCATCAGTCATATTTTGCTGAAGTTTTACCATTTGTGGTAGAACTCTTTGCATATTGACACTATTTCTCTGTGCATATATTGAACATGGAAATGTTGCAAGTTTGAGAATTACAGAAGTTAATATAATTGTTGCCCACCATGATAAATGACAATTAATATGGAGTAATTCATAAAATGATTGGAAAATTCCAAAAGGACCAAATCCACCTAATCCTAAACTTTCAAAGGTAGGTTCGCCATTTGGATGTAAATTAATAATCTTTGTGATTTCTTCATGCAATGGTATTTGTGGTACAGGTGGATCTGCAAAAAATACAAAAAAATTATACCAATTATGTCTCTACGTTTTATGTATTATTAAATAATTTAAAAAACAAATATATTAAATGCATTTCAATACAATGTGTTTATTACCTGGTATTTCACTTAATAGATCTTTCTGTACTGTTGCATTACCTATATCTGTTATTTGTGCTTGTGATTCAGATGAACCTGACAGTTAAAAGGAATGAAGCATCACATTTATTATTATATTTTCAAAAATATCACACTAAAGATATTACAAAAGTTTTCATACCTGGTGGTATATTTGGTACTGTTTCTTTTACTGTTGTATTAACTGTGCTCTCATATCGAATGAGATAAATTTTCTGAACTTTCGAAAGTTTATGTACATTTAATATACAATCCCTTCTTAACGGACTGTTTGTTATATTATAAGCAAAACCACTAAGGTGGCATTTTGCTGTTTTCTAGATACATTCATATTCTCATCATTGAAATAGTAAACTATGATATAATATAACCTCTACGAGAAAAAGTTTTCTACTTACTTGAAATACTGTAGTCGTATTTAACAATTTTTTACTAGCACGTACACAGAATCGTAATAACATGATTTTGTTTATACACTAGTAATAATTAATTCTATATTATGATAAAAGTAGATCGGATCACAAAGATTTTTATATTATATGAACATGTATGTAATTTTTGTATCTTCTGAAAAAGATCATCATATCGTAAGTTGCTATACTCTATTCCAGATGGCATTCTAGTTGAAAGTCCAACTTAAGGTACATATGTACCTCATTTGCGGTTTAGATTTAAGTTAAAGAATAAAAACAGTTAAAAATAAAATTATTAATCGCAGTCAATTAACTTATATTATTTGCTATATAATTAATTCCATTATTCATGATTCGTATTAACTATATAGTAATTAATAATTACATGTCAAAAGATTGTCAGATCAGAATGAAGGCTTTCTATATAATTTTTTTCATCCTCCTTTAATTTAATATCTATTCAACTTCAAATAAATCCAAAAAAATTTTTTGAACAATCAAGTTTCAAATGCTATACAAATAAAAAAAATTGCAAAGAAAATTGAAATGCTAAACATGAACCATTAGTTGATCAACTACCTCTAATTCCTATATTATAGCATAGATGGTACTTTTATCCATGATATTGTAATAAATAAATGACTAGTTCGGCATTTAATGTGTTATTTTGTTATAGAAATTTACGTGCTACATCAATAAGAGTAACAAGTTTATTAATATCGATGATAAATAAATATTTTTATTTTAAGTATATTTTTGATCAGTAAGTATTGCTTCATATTTTTTCATGAATGGAAATATGATACATTAATTCTGATTTATAACAGATTTTCGCTTCAAATTAATGTAATGCTTAGTTGTTTTATTCAGTATATTGCAATTATTGTCATTATAATCATCATTACAATAATTCACGTTAATAATTAAGCTATATATGGTATATAATAATTTATATGATTTTAATAATTGTAAGAATCATATGTTTATTTTTTCAGAATTGTATTCATTAGCCGAATTCTATTCGTGCATTTTCAAACTCTCACTCCGCCAAATTAGTTCAATCAAATGACTCGAATCTATTGCGTTACGTCGAAACGTGTGTTAGTTTATCCTCGAAAATGATATAAAGATGTATCATCTTCGTGAGATTTATGTAAGTAAATTTTCTTTTCCCTCTCGTTGTTTTTTCAATTGCAACACTTGCTGGTTTATATTATGAGCTTTCAATTCTTTTTATATATTTATTTGAAAATGTTGATTCTCTTTTATACAGAATTGATTTCGAAAAGAACTGTGAAGCATTATGAAAATGCCACGAAATTCAAATGATAATTAATAGAGGTGTGCGAGAACCCGATATAAATATCGGGAACACGAAAATTTCGAGATTCTCGAGTTTATCGGGATTCTCGAAAGATTCGGGATTCCCGAAAGAGTTGGGATTTGGGAAGGGATTGGGAACAAGCTTAAATAATTCGTTAAAGCCCACGCCTTTAACTGTATCGAAAGGTCGCAGATCTAGAACCATCATTCGAGCAATACCTTTTGTTATATCTTTTGGTTTAACAATCTTTCGCGTATCACTTTGTACATGTGTCAAATTTTATGTCGATTCAGTTTCTTTTCTAGTACATATGTACTTATGTTTGGATGTATATGCTTCAAATGGCGTAATAAACCAGTAGTATTTACATACCTAGTTTTAAATTCATGGTGACAATGCGTGCATCCCGCCTTTGTATCGTCTTTTTCTCGAAAATGTTCCCAAACAGAGCTTCTCTTTACCTTCTTCCTTTGCACTACTTCCTGTTACCACAACTTGACTCTCACTATCACTCGGCGTTGGTTTTAAAGATTTTTAGTCTTTATTAAATTGACATAGATTTTGAAATATACGTCTGACCTCCCCGAATTTCTCCGCGATACTGTTCAGCAGCGTACATAATATCCAAGGACTAAGCACGCAGCCACACGTTCGTTTACATCAGGTCACACGATTCTTAGAATCCGTGTTTCCAATAACTTCACTGGCAGAGGAAATTGAACTGTGTATTTATATATTTTGTAGGCTGCTATACAGCATTGTAGAGTAGTTCGAGAAACGGCAGCCGGGTTCTCAAAATTTCGGGAATCTCGACTTTTTCGGGAAACCCGATTCCTTCGGGAATTTCGAAATTTTCGAGAACCCGACTCGTCCCGGCCATATTTTCGACTTTCTCGCTCCTAAATACTACTAAATACTCCTAAATACTACTATTAAAATATTAATGTTTAATAAGAAATTAATTTATAATTATTTCAAACATTCTAAACAATTAACACTGTCCTTAAAAATAATTTATAATATTTTGTGTTCTGTGATAGGATTTTTACCAATCTTCACTTCCTCTATGATACAAGTTTCATTTGATAGACTTGATTCGACCTAAGTTGCAATAATGATAATGCTCTCCGTAATCGTGAGTCACATACATTTTTATTTTTTTAAATCATTCAGTCATGTCGTAGGATGAACGAATCCGAATAGACATGGGTGATTAGTTGTATTATGTAGAATTTTTGATGAGCATAGTGATCACGGGTATTTATTATACCCCTGCGTAGCAACATTTTCTTGTTTATATATGTTTTACTTATTAATTCAGAATGGATTATTCTTGTACATTGCGTTTTTGAATGTTCTCTGAAAATACTCAATTTTCAGTCACTTCTAGAACTTTCTAATTTGATAAATTTTCTAAATCTAATTTTCTAGAGAAAATTTCTTTTTGACTCGCAATTCTTTATATTATTGATTCTGTAAAGTGATTTCCTTTCAAATCAATTACAAAGAGAGGCTAGGCTGCGTCTTGCCGCTGACACGACACTAGAATTATGCTGTCAGTGCAGACTCATGTGATCGAATCTGCTGCAATGACATTCAGTTTGTGTCCCGGGACCAGGGTTATTAAGACAGACCTACTATTTAAATTTCTCTCATGCCGTCTCTCCGTTTTCGGGACCTCCTTCCTTCCTTCCTTTTGCTCACCTCAATCCACGTAGCTGCTTTTGTTACTCGTCACAGGGTCTGTTGATTCAAGACGATAAATACATGGCTGCATGAGATTTCACCCGAATAAAAATAGGTTGAAAAAAAAATTATGAAACGGGAAGTAATGACAGTGGAAGACGGCGTGGTACTAATTACAGATCCACATTGTCAATAAAGATTCCTAACCATCTACTGCTTTGCTACCAACTGTCAATTTCTCCATAAAATAATTTGGTAACAATTGTACTTTTTGAATGATGCAACCATCATCTCGTTGTTATCTTCTTTTCTTCTTATGAATGTTCGCCATAATTAGACTCGAGTCAAAGTATTTATCTGACCAGATTTCGTCTAGAGCGATTTACGAAATTATCCTTGACATCTTACTGTTAGAATATACGGCTAGAATTGTACTGATCGGTGATATTTCTCTTTTTTCAATATAGTATGAATTGAATAAAATTTATACTTTTTGCATTATGAACATCGGTACGGAGGAGAGAATAATTTTATATTAATATAAATATTTATCAATATTTTATATTGATATCGTTGTGAGCAAGAAATTATTTATTTATCATCTAAAATCAGACCACTGCAGTAATTTAGTCTCTTTATAAATTTTAATGGATCCAGCCATTCAAAGGATGAATAGAAAGAGTGAAGATTTCCATTTAACTTGACATTCATCTAAAGAACTAAAATTTATGCCTACAAGAAAGTTGTCGCGTAACGTCACCTGCTGCTGTGACAAAACAACGAGTTCAACTTTCGAACTTTATTTAAAATCACCCAAGAACATGGTATCCATTGCGTAGATCGGAGATCTCTTCTTCCTGGACAGGATTACCCACTTTACGCCAGGGTAGCAGGTCAATCAGGGTGACAGATAATGGGATCGGAAAGAACCATTGAAAAGAACAAGATAGTGAAGCTGTCACAGGAGAGAGACGACACTGGCTCTAACTTCGTGTCAAAGTCGTATCGCGATCCCTTTGATCTTACCGGTAAATCCCGATACAAACGGAATTTTCGTCATAATCTAATAAAGATAAACACCTAAATAAAGTCACTTTGAGGAAATTGACCGTTTCACTACGTGTCAGTGTCTCGTTAATTGAAGAACATAATAATTTTACGAAGCTACTTTGCGATTATGTTATACAATTCATTTTGATTAACACATTGTTCTACGAGGAATTAATTCGTGGTTCTTTATAAGTTTGTCTATTTTCTAATGGGCTTTTCTTTTTTCGCTTTTGCAGCTTTTAGTAGCAGACACAAAGTTTAATCAATTCAACTATATTTTCAATTATATTCTAATTTTGTTTTATAATGTTATAGTAGTTTTCGTATTGTTTATTAATAATGGCATCGACAACAAAAATTAAAAAAATAATGTTAAAAAAGAAGTTAAAATAAAAGACACACACACACACATATATATATATATATATAATACAAGAGAAAATAGATCTCTATTCACGTAAATACTTTACTAAAGAACTCTGTATGAAATCTCTGAATTGAAGATGAAGAATAAGAAGTAGACATAGAACTCCATACTCGTTTAACGTGTTTAATATGTGAAAGAAATCTCTGCTTTAATCATAATTACACAAATATAAAATTTACATACATATCCACGTTTAAAAGTAAAACTTAAACTTCGTTCGAATATAAAAGACAGAAACATGACAAATTTCTCGCAGGAGCTCTCATTGTCAGACAAGTCCAATGGGCTTTTCTTACATGGTATTAATTATGCACGAACACGAAATAACTAAAGATAACATGAAGGCAACTAGCTACACGAATCGATCGCGAAGTGAGAGATCGAAATCGTAGGTAATTAGATTATAAACACGATGACCGATTTCATAGAGGCGCGTCACGACCACCGATTCCCAACGAGATTCTTGTCTATGACAAATTAGGCTGCGGGCGATTCATCGAGGCCCTGATCGATTTGCTCGCCGCGATTCCATCGTGATATTAGCCGGCGTACGAGCGACGCGTTCGCCAATTATCGCGAAATTTGCACGCTGCCGCCAACGGCTGCTGCCTTTCCTCTCGTGCGCGCGCGCGCGCACGAGCGTTGTTAATGACGAACCGGCGCGGCGGCCGTTGTAAATCAATTTT